GTTAATTAAAATCTATATAATCAAACATGTTTCAACCACGGGTAGGATTGTTTTTTTATAATCACGACATTTAACAATGGTGGTCTACACTTATTTTAGGAACAAATGAGCAAACTTTGTACGTGTTGTGGAGGTTTTTGCAAAGAATTTAAACAATTTGTTTTACGTGGTAGTATTATCGATCTTGCTATTGGTATTATTATTGGTGGAGCATTTACCAAAGTAGTCGAATCACTGGTTAATGATATTATCACGCCACCATTTGGATTTTTAATAGGAGGTGTTGATTTTGTCAATCTTACAATACAAATCAACAATTTCTATGCCAATTCAACACCTGTAGTTATTCGATATGGACGATTTATTCAAGCGCTTATCTATCTAGTACTTGTTGCTTTCGTCATATTTTTATTAATGAAATTAATCAATAAATTACATAATTTGGCCAAGAAAAATAAACAAGAAAAAGGTGAAATTCAAGTAACAGAAGAAGTAAAAGTGTTGAGAGAAATACGTGATATTTTAGCAGAAAATGGAAAATTAACTAATGCTGAACATATTGATATACGGAAACAAATTTCAACAACATATTTGACGCCAATCGAGCGAATACATTGAAACGACATGTTCGATATTGGACGTAAAAAGGTTATATTTTTGCTTTACTACAATTAGACACCGAACTACAAGTATTTACATTTCAAAGTGAACTCAAGTATTATGTAACAATGTCTTTATCAACAGTGACGCTCTTTTTACTAGGTCACTCAATAGACAGTTACGTTTTTTCATCGTGAACACAATACATTTTAAAAACGTTCAGCTCAGCAATAATATTCTCTACAATAGACATGTGGTCATGCCCGTTGTCCATGGATACAAACAAAAATTTGATGTTGAGCATGATCATATATATTATTTTCAAAGGTACACGAATGATAGATATGAAAAAAGCGTATAAACAGATGTCTAATCAAAAGCTACCTTTAATAATAAAATAATTTATTTATAAATTTTTTGTGTGCATGCTTGTTCGTATCTACATAAAAAAATAAGAATAATGTAGAAGTCATATTTTTGTTTATTGAAGAAAAAAGTTCAAAAACTGCAGTGAATCTCACAATGGGCACTGTAAAAAGTGTTTATTGTGTATTTTCGTTTCGTTTAAGATTTAAAAAATTCCTATAATGGTTAGATTGATTAATCTTCATTAAGAGCATGTAGCCGAACTGTTCACAGAGCTTTCGTACGTCTTTCTTTTAACAGTCAATCAATGAATTTACTCACTAATGGAATTAAGAGTCTTCCAAGGTTCTAGCCCATAGAAACGATGAATAGAAACAAAGAGTATCTGAACGATCATCAAGAGATGAAGACAAACATATTTAGAGTAATCAAGAGGTAAAGAAGAAGAATCCGATGAATAAACAGAATAACACATAGCAAGAGGCAACATACTTCCAACATGTTTCTTCATACTCGTTCGAATTTTGTTAGTATCATAAAAACTTTTGGCTTCATTCTACTAAAAATTGCACAGAAAGGCTTTATGCTATTGGAGTGTATAATGGAAGCTAACTGAAAAATAAAAACGTGATATCATTATAAAAATATAGAATTATATAATAAGAATATCTTGTCTTACACGTACTGTTGACAAAGATATGAACCGTTTTTTATTATAATTAGTTAGACAAATATATTTCACTCAACTTGTATGTAAATACCATATTTTTTAAGACTTCAAATTAATTTCCTCTTATTAATTATCGAATTAATGAGATTATACTACAACAGTTATGTTAATATCAATTTGTATGTGAAATCAACCAAATAAATCTTTCTGATTGATCCTCACCGGTTTAGCTAATAAATCAACTTTTTACATGTTACTTGTTTGATATACGGTTAATGGATAATGATCATGGTCTATTCTATGTATTTCTGAGTGTGTTTCTTTTATATATTTTCCGTCTATGATAGTGTCACTGACTAATCTAGCAAATTTATATATATATGATCGAATTGTTCTATCCTTCAAGAAATATTGATAATGATTATAATTTGTAAACTTGCTATAGATGTTTTTTCTTTTACCATTTTATAATCGATTTCGTGTTTAACTCAGTTGACGAACTATTTTCTTTTGGAAAAGAACTGAAAACATGTTAGATTATATCAAAATCAACATAATAGAGAAAAAATTTATAATTTATGACTTTTTAAACTCATTACTAATGCGCTAATATTTATGACAACTAGTCTGTAATTATATCCGATCTTTTTCATACCCGATCTCATAGATTTTTGTCTTGAAGATTTATGAGAGTAACATACCAATAGAGTATGACAATGTTTTGACAAGACAATAGATGTTTGTTTTCTCATAGACTTCTATTATTTTTCATTTTTGTACTGAAACTCTCCATGATGTGTGTATATAAAACTAGTCGCAAATTATTCATTCATGCTATGGAATTAGTTTGTAGAAAATCTGGCCAAAACAAATACAGACAATAGGAACACATCAACGAAACTTTGTAACGGGTGGTCCACAAATAATGACACACTTTTGCAACTTATTTCCGTGCATTTAATTGAGGCTTTAAGACTCGATTCTTAGGTTCTTTGGATAGAGAGTTTTCTGCTCTAGAAAATCCATTATGTATAGAGTAAGGACACGTAAAAACTATAACTGCAACAAATGGAACAGCTTGTATTTTTTTTTGTTTTGTATTTCGGCGTAATTGATTATTTAATAATGTTTCTGTCAGCTATTTGTCACAGGTTTGTAAGGAAATAGTCTTGATTTAATTAATTCACATTGGAAAATAATATTTTCCCTAACATTTAGCCACTAATAACAAATGGTTCTAAGATTATAGGATTATTGATGCACCAATTTTTGTCTGTATATCGTATGCTTCCAAGAATTTGTTCTGACTTCAGAAGACAAAAGATTTTCTGTTCTACAAAATCCTCTATATCGCACACTTACACAGTGCCATTTGTTTAGTCTTTTCCCTAAATTTTTCAAAATCTCACGTTGTCAGAAAGTACTAATTAACTTGTCCACTAAAATATTTACAATTTAAGTGACGAAACGCAAAAGCAGCGTAGTCTGGACGATAGTCCTCAATTCGCTGAACATTTTTATACCATCTTCTTTTCTCAGTTACCATATTATTTCTCGAAAAATTACGCAAAAGCGAAAAAGCTATCAAAATTTTTATTTGATAGTAAATCGCAGTTTATAGTTTTTACGTGTCCTTACTCTACACAATCTTTTTAGATAATAAAATAATATGTAATGA